TTTTTTTTTTTTTTTTTAATTGTTCGTGTGTGTATGTGTGCATTTAATTTTCTTCAGATAATACTTATAAACACCATAGTGATTAAATACATAGCTGTTAAGATGGGAACGTCTAGTTCAACACTGGATGTAGGGAAGGCGTTACATTCCCTCCTTGAGGATGATGTAATAGACAACAAGGTCTTTTCCTTATTGCTAGAAACCAGTCTTTCTAACACAGAATTAGAACGTGGAGTTCCATTTTCTGATTTAAGAACTATGAGACACTTTTATACAAAGAACTTTGCAATGTTATTATTTAAATGTATAGAAGTTATAGCAAACGTTGTGGCTATTCATCAAGAATCAAAAGAAATTACTTCAGTTATGGCAGAAAGACTTCAAAATGCCATTCGTTTACTAAGACGAATACTTCCTATTGCCATGGAAAGCGGAAATACGGTATCTACAGAAGAATTGGAGGATTCCGATAAGAAAACTGTTCCTATTCAACAACCGGAAGAGAATAAAGAAGAAGAAACTTCTACTGATAGAGTAAAAAAGAGAAAAGTACGAACACGTTTTACGAGTACATTTGTGCATTCATTTTTTGTTGAAAATCTCGCATGTGATGATAACACTCCATTACAAGTACTACCACAACTTCCCCTTGCAAATCCTAATATGCCTATTGCTAAAATTCTAGGTCGATTATTAGTAGATTGCTGTTTTATTAGAGGTTTAACATTGCCTACTGAATCTACTACTACAAGACCTAGTAAAACTCACCCATTTGTTGATGAATCACTTCTTTGGTATACTGGAGTAGGTGGAGGAAGTACCACTATGAGTGTAAATGCTACATCACACACTTTACGTTATGAACTTCTTTTTACACTTACTGTATTTCTCTCATATCCGTTACATTTTACTAGTGGGGAAAGAGATACTATATTTACTGAACCATTAATTAACGTAAATGATACACCACTTTTACCAACATTAGTTGCATCTGCTTTAAATGCATTACTTTCTTACGTACCCTTTGGTCTTCTCCCGTATTCAAGTCACTGGGTGGGACCAGAGGAATTGGTAGTTCAGATGAGTGCCCGTTTCTTATGTGTTGTGATTTGTTATCCAGGAGCTCCATTACGTGATGACTCGCAAAACTCCCATACCTTTCTGACTAATGAAACTAGTGACAATAGAGAAGAGAAGAAAAAAATAGTTAATGAAGAAAATAATGAAGTAAGAAAAGAATCTGATGTATTACCACGTATTCAAGTAGTACATAGTGGAAGGGAACTTATTCATTCAATTACTGCTGAGGAAGCTCGAGATATTGTAGTTCGTCTACAACCCATTATTAGTTTAAAGTTATATTCAAATAGAACATATTTTCCTGAATCTCAACGTTCCTTTACAGTACAAAATGAATTTATGATGTTACTTTGGAGATTAATTGATTTATCTCCTGAGTGTGTTTTGGCTTTTGGACAGGAAAAGGAGGTATTAGGGTATATTTTACCTCTCGTAGATTACGCTATTGATGCAAGACGTAATCCACAATATTTTCCTCATCTTCAACTCGTTCTATTTGTTTTGCTTCGTCTTAGTGGAGCTAGAACTTTTTGTTTACAATGTAATACCACATTTCGTGAGTACATTCCTTTTGAGTTTGATTCATTTGTAGGATCATATAATGATCTTATTATTATTATGTTATGTTCTTTTTTATTGATGAACCATGAAATGATACGTCCTCTTCACGCCACTTGTAGTGCCATTATATCGAATCTTGCACCTTTTGTTACCACTATTAGTCCTATCACTTCAAGTAAACTGAGTGATGTATTTACTTCTGTTGCGACGAGATGTCTCGCCTATGAGGTCCAATCAACAGTTATAGAAAATCCAGTTAATACTGCAGATGTGATAACGGATCAAGTGGTAATGTTAAATATTGTTGAGGCGGTTGCTAGTATATTACAATATCATGAATTAGCGGCTAAACCTTTACTAGCTTCATTTATGGAAAGAAAAAGTTTAGTAACTGCCGTTTCGGATGTATTCTTGACATCTAAACATGATCACTTTCGTATTCCTCTCTCCTCACCATTTTTGATCACAACTATCAGTGCGGCTATTACGGCGGTAGAGGCCACTATTAAAAAGGTACAAACAACAGAAGAAGATTTAGTTGCGGCTATTGATAGTATTACTTTAGTGGGTGCTCTACCAACTCCACACCGTATTGTGGTGAAACGTCTTAACTCCACATGGCAAATTGAGCGATGGGCAATAGAAACGAATTGGTCATCACTCTATTCATATACAGCTCCTGGCACATTTGGAGATAAATATTCAATAAAAATGTTGCGATTTGCCTAAATAACACTTTTTTTTTTTCTTCTCTGTGTGTGTGTGTCTGTGTATGCGTGCGTGTGGGACTATTTTTATTTTTCTTCTTTTCTTTTTTTTGGGTGTAGGGAGGCACGAGACCCAGCAAAAAAAAAAAATGGGTAATATAAACGAAAAAGAGAAAAAAAAAATATGGTTTTACTAGGAATGGTATTCCAAAGTTATGTAAAGAGGAAAGAGACGATAGGTTGCACCCACTTTTTTTTTTTTTTTTTAATCCATTGATTCATTCAATATATATTTAAATTGAGTTTTGTTTTGAGACGTTAAGATACTATGTTTGTTGTTTCACTTTTTTGTCAATTCCCATGTTATATTTTTATTTATTTATTTTATTTTATTTTTTCTCTCTTTTCACCACTCACAACTTCAATGAACATATACAACCTTAACAACAATAAAACAAAACAAAACAAAACAAAACAGAACAAAAAAACCAATCACGGAATTCTTCTTGGCCGTAACACTTTTCGAATGGCGTGCTGTAGAGCTCTTGAGACCCCAAAAGACCTCACATGTCAGGTCTGCTTTGACTCCTTTCAACAACCCACACAACTCTTCGTATGCGGACACATCTTCTGCAAGGTCTGTGTGGAAGGCGCTACAAAGTGTCCCACCTGTCGTTCCCAAATTGATTACACAAAACCTGCAACAGAATTAATTCAAAGGGCAGTGGAATTACTTCCAGTGGTATGTAGAAGCTGTGCATGGAGGGGGACGCGCGCAGGCTCACACTCACACCGTTGTGAGACAAATAACACACAAACTCTCTACAGCCAATACCCACGAGTCAGTGATGAAGAGCTATATGCCCGGGCTACCAATAAGTCAACGGGTTCCATTTTTCAGGAACCCGGTGCGGTTCAAGGCATACCATTATGTCAAACAAACCTCAGCCCTAACACACCGGCTTCAAAAGGAAACCATGCTAAACTGTTTTAAAACAACACACAAACAAAAGAAAATAAAGGAAAATAAGAATGGATGATTGCATGATCTTTTTGCTTTATTTTATTTTTTTTGCCTGTTTTAAAAAAAAAATATATATATATACATATATGTGTGTGTGTTTTGCGTTATTCAAACGGAATCAATTCTTCTAAGTGCACGCTTTATCAAGATTTAATCATTGCATTTTCCGTTTAACATAAAAAATCTTCTCCTGATTAAAGCACATCGTCCTTTAGATGCTGCAGCAGCATCAAATAAGCCCAGGGTTTCTGTGGCAAAAAAGAGGAAGAGGCAAAGAAAGAACAAGTGAGTGTATGTGTATGCACAGTTTTGCAC